AAGCTAGACCACCATGGAAAACCTGGAAGCACTGGACGACCGTTTCGTCCTAGTATGGGACTCCTCAGCAGTGTGCATCCACGATCCCGCACCCCACGGGATTCGAACCCAGGATCTACTGGTTTCGCGCGCGAGCACTAGACCACTGAGCCGGCATCCTACGGTGTTAATGTCTAACTTCAACCAATCCACGAAGTTGCGCCACCGTACACCATTGTTTTCAGTGAGCTGATATCTCAAAATAGACCTGGTTGAACTCCACTGGTAACGGCTTCTCACTAGAACTCCGGAAGTATCTCCTGGAGTCAGTCACTAGTGAGCAGTTTATTATTATCAGAATGGGTTTTGTGGAGATTTTAGAAATTTCACAGGTTGAAATCATGAGTCAATTGAAGCTAGACCATCATGGAAAACCTGGAAGCACTGGACGACCGTTTCGTACTAGTATGGTGTGAGATATCAGCTCACTGAAGACAATGGTGTACGGTGGCGCAACTTCATGGATTGGTTGAAGTTAGACATTAACACCGTAGGATGCCGGCTCAGTGGTCTAGTGCTCGCGCGCGAAACCAGTAGATCCTGGGTTCGAATCCCGTGGGGTGCGGGATCGTGGATGCACACTGCTGAGGAGTCCCATACTAGGACGAAACGGTCGTCCAGTGCTTCCAGGTTTTCCATGGTGGTCTAGCTTCAATTGACTCATGATTTCAACCTGTGAAATTTCTAAAAATCTCCACAAAACCCATTCTGACATGAAATTATATCAAAAATCAGAAACATGAGTGAATAGTAAAAAATACGATATGTCCACTGTAAAGTGTAATAGATAAACGAAATTACAAAAGATAACATGAAATTTCCACCATCATATCAACTTTCTTTGACCTTGCTTGACTATGCTTTGCTTATTCATCAATCATAATTTTATGTTTAACATGAACTATATTAAGTTTGTTGACTCATATTTCCAATGCTCTAGTTACTGTTCGGTATATTACTTATCTCTTTTACCTGTTTAATAGTCTGTATTCAATCAGTCAGTCAGCTAAAACATAGGATCAGGCACATATATGCATAGGTCCAAGTTGCCATACCTCATTAACACAACAAGATGAACACCGGATTCATAGAAGCAGTTAATTCAATGGTAGTAATATATAAACGAAAGATTGCATATAAGGATATAATACAGGAAGAAAGAATTAGTTCGTAGAAAGAAAGATATGGAGTGATTTTAATCTCTTAGTTTAAGGGAAGGCAGAGAAAGTATACACGTTCTCCATTGTGGTCGATTCTGAGCCATGTCACCAAGTCTCCAAACACTAGCTACGATAGTCACGTGGACCCCAACCAAATAGTCTGCATCTCCCAACATGGCTCAGACTAGAAGTTAGTGAATTCAAGCACTGATGCTACATCTGGATTAATTGCTTATTTTGTATACTAAGTCTTAATTTATGTTTTAGAAACAGATAGAGTTTATCAAGCCAAATAGCTTACTTGTTCTGACTTTAGCTAAGCTGAAACTTTGCTCGACAGTCTAGGAAATAGTTTAGAATTGCATGTGTAGGAAATTACTTCCTACATCCGCCTTTCACTAAACATGACTAATATACATCGCAATCACTTTTAAGTTGTAATTTAAGATAATTGTTTGCGGCATTAGTTTTTGTATCTATTTAATAGATATTTTGTTGTTAAAACCACTCCATAATAGTAAGCATAATTTTCGCTTTTCATTTAGGGTGTTCGCCAAAAACAACAGTTTCACTCATTATTAAATACACTTTCTAGTTAATTGGGACTAAACAAATTATTATAATCACTGAGCTTTTCTACCAATAACTTCAGTGTTGAAAACAAACTTAGAATTATTCTTGTCCCTTTGTTATTTCATTATGCTATGATTTTCACTGTCCTACGTGTACATATATGTGTAAATGCTCACAACCATGCTTCTGTAGAAGACAAGAATGTGTTTTAATTATCTCAGGTTTATAAGAAGTACTTCATCAACTTTTTTCTACATACTGTGAGAGATCTATGGTTTGATTGATCATTTGTATCACATCCTCTAGTCTGAGTCAGACTACCAACTTTATTCGTTTATTCACGCTTTAAATGCGTTGTTTGGTGGAATATCTAGCAGGAATCTCGATAAAAATAATCACTTAGTTATTGTCTGAATATTGATTTGTGTGGTAAAGCTTATAGTTTAACATTAGCAATAAAATTTACTCGATGACAGTAGTTTCTACATAGGTTTCATAAATGACTAGACTTAAACAAAGTGAGTGTTTCAGTAATCGTTGGAGAGGCTCGGCAGAAGACTGCTGCTCGTTATGGAGTACATGTTTAGACCCTGATCATGCTTAATACGAGCGCGCATTTGCTTGCGCCTCACTGGACGCAGAAAAACCACATTAAGAAGACCCATTAGAGTTGAACTCTGACGAGAAAGACAAAAGTAGATTCCAGGAACAACTGAGGTCACACTTAGGTAGTTCTGAAAACGAGGCTGACCAAGATGTTGCTTGGAAAGATGTAAAAAACAGCTGTGGAAACAGCAGCGACATCTATTAGTGATTTAAACAAATGGATTTCTTGTGAGTCTATTGTATTGATAGAATCTCTTCAACTGATCCCATCAGGCTGCGAACACGATGACGAGCGAAAGCAGATCAGATCTAGGTTAACCAAAAGTCTAAGGAACGACCGTGAGCAGTGGTATGCAACGAAAACAAAAGAGATGGAAAAGGCAGCGGCTGTAGGTAACACCAGACAGCTCTACAGACTAATAAAAGAAACTGGAATTAATAAGTCAAGTGTAGGTGAAACGATCTCCTAAAAAGACGACACTTATCTACTTTCAGCCCAAACGTTTAAAACGATGGACGGAACATTTCAGAGAACAGTTCAGCTGGCCTTCAGCTACTCTACAGCTACCTATCATTCCCAAACAACCTGAATGGAACACTGAAGTAGTCCCCCCGACTCTTATCGAAGTTCAAAGAGCTATAGCTAATCTGAAACGAGGAAGATGGATTGGCTACAGAGTTCTTTAAGGATGGTGATCTAGTTTTACGACTAGGTTGACTAATATTTTAGCTAAGATCTGGGAGTTGAACGTAATTCCATCTGACTGGTCACAATCACTTATCATCCGAATATATAAGAGAGGGTTAAAATCATCCTGTGACAACCATAGAGGGATTAGTTTAACTAATATAGTATCTAAAATACTAGCCTCAATAATTACCAAACGCCTAACTAAGACACGTGAACTGCAAATACGAGAAAATCAGGTTGGCTTCAGACCTGGTCGTGGCTGCATCGACCACATATTTACCATTCGTCAGGTTCTAGAACATAGACATACTTATCGGCGTCCGACAATGGTGGTCTTTCTTGACTTTAAAGCAGCATTCGACTGTTGACCGGGAGGTTTTGTGGCAGTGTCTATCATTGAATGGTGTACCTCAGAAGCACGGATTCGAAAAGCTCGGTGGCTTTTACCAACTTACGTCACCTATGGTGAAGGCGAGATATCCGTCTATCAATTAAGGGACGAGTATACTGTGCGTTAGTTCGTTTTGTTCTACTTACGGCAGCGAAACATCGTCATTAAGAGTAGAAGATATTCGTAAGCTCCTAGTATTTGACCACAGATGTCTTAGAAATAGTGGTCGCATCTTCTGGGATCACCGGGTAAGTAATAGTGAGGTTCGACGCAGGGTACTAGGGGATGATGGTAAATCAGTTGATGAGGTTGTGATTCTTCATCGACAGAGATTGTTGGGCCACGTGTTACGTATGCCTGAACACCGATTACCATGATGTGCAATGGTAACCGGTGTTGGAGATGGTTGGAAGAAAGTTAGGGTCGGCCAAACCAAAACGTGGTATCAATGCTTGAAGTCATTAACTTCTAGTCTGAGCCATGTTGGGAGATGCAGACTATTTGGTTGGGGTCCACGTGACTATCGTAGCTAGTGTTTGGAGACTTGGTGACATGGCTCAGAATCGACCACAATGGAGAACGTGTATACTTTCTCTGCCTTCCCTTAAACTAAGAGATTAAAATCACTCCATATCTTTCTTTCTACGAACTAATTCTTTCTTCCTGTATTATATCCTTATATGCAATCTTTCGTTTATATATTACTACCATTGAATTAACTGCTTCTATGAATCCGGTGTTCATCTTGTTGTGTTAATGAGGTATGGCAACTTGGACCTATGCATATATGTGCCTGATCCTATGTTTTAGCTGACTGACTGGCTCATGCTTATGGATATGATGAAACTACTTCATATACACAACAGTTTTGAAGTTAGAAAACCTTTAAAAAAACTCTACAGAGGTGCTTATTATGAGGCATAGTGATTTAATCGGCTACAATGGACTTCTATGTATTTACAAAAAAACTAACTGCAGTTTTCAAATATCTAAGTTATGTTCATGCCAAACTAAGCATGGAGAATGAAGTCACAAATGAAATAGTACGAACAACTGAGCAGTAATTAATCTTGCTAGCCAATAATCCATTATGTCGATGAAAAGTAGCATTAAACACTAGTAACTAACAGTTGTAATCTACAAAGCCGTTCGCCAAAAATGAATTTGAGTGACTTAAATATGTTGTCATACAATGCACTTCGGATGGGAGCCAATATATTTTTTACATTCCCAGGCATTCCTGAACTAAGCCGTAGCGAAATAAACAAGATTGTTGACCAGAGGCTGTCATATATATTAAAGCTATGTACATACGAAAGAGTTAATAACGACTGTTTAAGGTTAGTGAGAATAATTACAAAAACTGAATAATACTTTTTAATGAGGAACTGTACACAAACATTTGGAAACTACTGCATTCATTTAAGAAATATACTCGGCCTTTCAAAACAGTCAGGTTCCCAACAAAAGTAATGCACAAAGCGGGGATACTTTCTGCTTCCATTGATCACCGTGAAGCGTACGAGCCTGAGAACAACAATCACCGCACTTTGCGCACCTTAACAGACCAGATACAGTATAACTTGTAACCGAAATAGACAGAGAAGCCGTGTACCTGAACACATAATGAGAAAAATATGTAGGTCAAGACGACAACGGGAAATTCATAGAAATAGTGCTTAGCCACACGACTTTGATAATATGTCATCAGCTCGAATGCGTTTGTGAAGCATCCAACAGCTACAGTGCCAAGACCGAAAACGACAGTTCCAGTAAGAGAAATTCGCATCAATCCAGCTCGGCTTCTTTGTAATGAGATATATCCGAATAGGGTAGGGAAGATACTACCGAAAAGCCAGACGTACTCCCATAACTCACCTTGAGGAAATGGCCACTATATTAGGTACTTAAAATGAAGTTTATTATTACCTTTTCCACCATTAGCCTTGTTCGGAATCCAAGTCTTAAGCATAGTTCCGGTAGCAGGCGAGCGAACATGAGCACCCACAACATTAGGTGAAGTAAATAAACGAATTTGATGCGACGTTTCATTAACGGGCTATTCAAGTACTAATATATTTATAAATGAACATACCTCAAGCTGTATTGAGTACAAACTCGTTCTCTATGACGAAAATCCGCACCATCTGTACCTTCAGGTCTATGACCAACCCTAGACGCCATTGCTAAAACGAAATCTATGCGTGCAAGCAATTAACACGACGACTCAGTAGAACTATATGTATTCAGAGTGTTCACTGTTCAGTAGTCGAGCGAGAAAATCAATCTATCTGTAAAAAAACATCGAAAAATATAGTCTATTTCAAATGGGACGCGGGAGGTATCACAATTAATAGACGAAAGCAGAATAAAGTAAGGGACAATACACAAGAAATACACTATCAACCGGCGAAACAAACTTTGGGTGCAATTACATCGATCAGGGTCAAATTTACCACCACGTGGCCTTCTAAGACCTTAAACTAATATTCGACAGGCTTGAAATAGGCCAGTAAAATCCATTTATTTTTATTTCCTCTTGATAATTGAAGATGATAATGAATGCTGAATATCCTTTATTTTATGTGATTTAATAAACTAAGGAATATTTGATTGGATTAAATTTAATTCGTTGCCTGGGCTTTTAGATGATCAATTACTTATCCCAAGAAGTTGATATTGCTGAAGTAACATCATTACCCATGAATTTCTCGGAGTATATGCTACATATTCGAGATAGGAAGTCACTTCGAAATGTTTAACTTTCTTACTATCATTCTTCTGAATACTAGTTGCATCCCGATTGGTAACCCAGTAGTGGCTGAAACACGGGCACCATTAGTGAACCTTTAAAGACGGTAATGTGGCCTTTTCTCTAGACGATAAGACGAAGAAGAGTGAGACACATAAGTTCTCAACTTCGTTATCAACAATCAGGAACCAGGCTGTTCATAATGACAGTGGTTTTCTCCAGTTTATGAATTACATTTGGTCCTATTGTTCTCCGTTTCTTTAATTTCGATCTAGACTCGAAATGAAATTCGTGGTCAAGATATGTTATGAGGCACATATAAAATTCAATTTCGATACAATCCATTGTTTTCAAATGCTTATACTAAGAATCAAGATTCGCCTCAACCCCAGGATCATATTAGTACCTGATAGTAAATTCAAATATGATATCACTTATTCGGAATTGTATGCATGGCCACTTGAGGAACAAATGCACTAAAAAAGCAGTTATTTCAAGGAAATTTCAGCGGTAAACAGATCCCCATAATAAATAGCTCTGTAAGTTTTCGACGTTGATGCTGACCCCACTAGTTTTACTGGATACAGAGTAACTGAAGGCACTCGGTCACGCATGAACAGCAGATCATGAGTGAGTACTCCGTACTAGGTATAAAATATTGATTCCAAACCCTTCACTCTTGACTTCTGATTTGAGTGATTTGGTATACTTCCATTATAAAGGTGTTATTGGTACACTGTCAAAGTCAAACACTTGTGGCATCTTTAAAATAGTAATAAAAAGACACAAAACCTGAATACGGAATACAGTTGTTCCCAGTTGTTATTTATCATTTTCATATATGCTTTCAGTTCCCGACGCAGTGTGTTCTTTGGTCTTCATCTTTTCCGTTCCCTTCAGACTCCAAGTTAGAGCTAGCTTCGTGATGCGTTCTGGTGATCTCCGCAATGTATGTCTTATTCACTTCCAACATCTCTTCCTAACGTAGCGGTAAATAAATCTCCAAAACAAATAGCTCTGTAAGTCTTAGACATTGGATGCTGACCACATTAGTCTTAATGGACTCACCTAGCTGAAGGCGCTCAGTCATGCATCCGCACCAGATCACCAGTGGGAACGCCGTGCTCAACAACCCCTGCAATCGCTAGCCAGATTAGATCAGACGATCCTCGGTATATTGATAGCCTATCAAATACGTCTTCGAACCTCCTTGCTTCTGTCTTTTGATTTCACTTGGTGGGTACGATTCATATTAGGTGTTGCTGGTTGAAGTGTTGTCAAACTCCGAATACCTGTGGCATCTTCATTGATGAACCCGACGTGATCTGGTACACCAAATTATAAACTGTGAGTCTGTCCCTTTTTGGAATTCTGTATATTATTGCTTTATATTAATTTTTCATAAGTTGTGGTATTTTCCCCCGTGTTTTTGACATATATATATATATTTTCACTCGCTCATTCTCGTGCTTGATATTGCACCATGACAGAACAGACACCCAAGTTACTTAAGCTAAAGACTACGTCCTCACCTCCGTTTCAACTAATGCCCTTGTGGCCAGACAACATCGAAGCCTGGTTCTGCTACGCAGAAGCCGACTTCTTCGAGCACCACGTGAACGACACACGTGCACAATTCCTCGCAGTAATCAAGGCACTACCGCGCGAATTCAACAGGTACGTAACACCTAGCATGTTTAGTAGTGATGTTCGGAACCTTACGAAACACTGAAACGATCTATCCTTAAACGCGGAGATCCGACCAATCGACTAAGGTTAGACCAACTCCTTAATAATATCGACCTTCATGACGGTTCTGCGACAGACATGTTGCTAAGAATGAGAGAGGTTATTGGCCAAAGAACTTTCGACGATGGCCGGTTCAGACGACTGTTCTTATCCAAACCTCCTCAACAGGTGCAAGGTGTGTTGGTCTCGCTTCAAAACAACACCGTAGACGAGCTGGCTGCGTATGCCGACCGCATCTTAGGAATCAGCAAATCTTCTAACGTCGAGGTTTTTTCAGTCAAAGAAAAGCCTCAAGCGACCCAGAATGACGTAAAAGAGTTATGTCATGCACTTACACGTTATTTCAACGGTTGAGATCATGAGTCAATTGAAGCTAGAACAGCATGGAAGACCTGGAAGCACTGGACAGCTGTTTCGTTCTATTGTGGGTGACCGATGACCCCAACTGGTACTGGTATCGTAACCAGTATGGAAAGCCCTCAAGAAATTGCAGAAAACCCTGCAATTTTCTCAACTCAAAATCGACCGACACGAAGAACAATTCGGGAAACCCCCAAGCCGGGACGCTTTACCGGCAACCGTAGCCGACGAACATACGCGTTTGTTATACGTCACAGATGTGATAACGAACGTTCGCTACCTCGTCGATGCTGACGCAGAAGTTAGCGTTCTTTCTGCAAATTCTAACGACTGGCTTCACGAACCACTTTTACACTTACAGACGGCAAACGGAAAGCCTATCATCACATATTGTAAAAAGGTACCTTTACGTCGGTTAACTCAAACCCACCCACTAGATCTTCGTTTTTGCAGATGTTTCTATGCTAATCACTGGTATAGACCTCCTACAACACCACAATCTACTCATCGATACGCACAAACGGAGGCTAGTAGACGGAGATACCAATTCATCTGCTTGTGTAACTTATTTTCCCGTTGCGGATTATCTCCAGTCACAATTAAGCACACGACAGACCCATTCTATCAACCACCATGCGATAGGTATTCTGGGATATACCAACCACAGCCGAAATTGCCGTGTGTAACCAGCAACGTTACACATCACACCACGACTACAGGACCACCTGCACGACGACTAGCCCCGAAAACCTCAGGTTGGCTGAAAACGAACTTGATCACATGATAGAGTTAGGAATCATACGACCGTCAAACGGCCCTTGTGCACCCACTATGCACATGGTCCCTGGAAAGAACAGCAACGATTGGCGTCCAACTGGTGACTATCGGCGACTGAATGCGAAAACTATTCCCGATCGTTACCTGTTGCCTCACATTCACGATTTGACAGCTACCTTGAAAGGTACAACTGTCTTTCAGAAAACCGAATTGGTTAAAGCGTATAACCAACTCCCTATGGCTACTGACGATATTCCGAAAACCGCTATCACAACCCCTTCGAACTCTACGAACTTTAGCGTATGCCTTCCGGTCTAATAAACGCTGCCCAAACTTTCCAAAGGTCATAGATGACGTTTTTTGAGGTCTCAACTTCGTACATGCGTATGTTGACGACTGCCTAATAGCAAGTCCGGACAGAGAATCGCACCTCCAGCATCTGAATCTTGTTTTGACCGACTACAAAACATGTAAACATTCAGAAATGCCGAATGGTAACTGATTCATTAGACTTCCTAGGACACACTATAGATGCGCAAAACATTCGATCCCTTAGAAGCAAAGTGGTGGCCATTCTGGATTACCCAGAACCGACTACCATCAAGCACTCACGCACGTTTAACGGCCTTGTGATTTTCTATAAACGGTTCATGCCGAAATGCGCGTCACTTATGAAACCACTAACCGAATACCTGCGGCATCTTCATCAATTTCCTCATCATCTGGAAGCTGGTTTGTTCTCTTCCACAGTAGGTTGTTGCTGATGGCATCCGATAGTGAGTATCGTGCATAGACAACTGTCAAAAAATGTTTCTAGTCTTTCATGATAGCTGTCGTCGTTCTCCAAGTTTCAGCTCCGTACAGTAGAATTGTCTTGACGTTCGTATGAAGATTCTGACTTTGATATTGCATTCTAGATGGTTGTTTGAGTTCCATATGCTTTTAGTGTGGCGTCGAGTCGCGGTTGACTATGATCACAACTACAGGAAGACTACGTGCCAATTACGAGGTAAGATCCCTCCGTAGACCAAATATCAGGAGGCGATTGAAGATTGTAATAAGATGTATTTGCTGACAATCTCATGGTATCGAAAGAATACCGAGATCGCGCCAAAGCTTACAAGCGGGACTACTGAGCGTACACGAGTTCGTGCAAGGTCTGTAGTGGCATTGGACCATGACCATACAATCGTCAAAGCTGAACACGAGACTACTCGGAAACTAGATATTCAATATTTAACGCGGAGAAATACCTAACGATGGAAAAGGCGGGAATAATGGGTTGAATTAATTGGAGTTGATCGTACGACATGGTTCGGCCATACAGGCGTGGTCCCTGCTGAATATTATCTCATATCGTTTATTCACGTTAAATATATTGTTCCATCTCTAGCCTAAGATTGTCCTCTATCATGTATTGGTAATTGTTACGATGCAGTGAGTTGGTGTAGACGATGATGTGACTTCCACGTAAGATCTTATAGACTAATGAGTTATAGCATGGAAAACCTACAATTATAGGATTAGGTCTGTCATTAGAGCAGTA